AACCATGCATGTCTCAATACACTACTAAGAACAATAGTTATATGATGTACAAAACTCCCTGACTACAATACCCATACAAGTAGTCGTATTCTTGTCGCAAAGATCGAAACACGCATGTCTCTAAAAGTGGCTCATTTTTTTTAATTTATTTATTATTACATCAATTCACCGTTAAAGTGAAGATTTTGTAGTTTTTAGCTACCATCGGAATAGATTCGACATAACTTGTTTGAAAACTACAGTAGGTACACAATATTTTATTTTATTCAATGTCGGTAACTTATGTGAGAGATGGGAAATTTGCGCGCCTGCTGCCTTCCTTGGATGTAGTAGCCGTTTCTCAGGCTCCCTCTCCGGAAAGTTTTATTCTATACGTGCACTTGGCACAAAGACACTACCGGGTATCAGGGATGGAAAAATCGCTAATCCTGAGGATTCTGTCAAGGATAATGGGACAAACTATTTAAACTATTGCATTATCATTGGTCCTTGATAAGTGTGCGAAGTTTCAAATCAATACAACGTTTGAAGGGGATGAAAATTACAGTCAAAAATTCCGTTATATAGATACAAGCTAATAAAATCGTGTTAATAAAAGTTAATATGATTAAATACTATGAGTATCCATATGAGTGGCAAAATCCAAAACCAACATCGCACAAAAAACGAAACGTGTCAACAAAATAAATTATCCTTTTGGGCACGTCACGTAGTATGACGCTTTTGTCCCGAAACTCAATATTTATCACCTGTGTATTTTTACAGTTAAACGAGAAACTTTTGAAATTAATTTAGTTTTATATAAATTTAGTATATATATATACTGTATGAACAGTAGTTATCTATCACACTAATTCGTTTCATGGGCATTGTTCGAATTCGAAATCGAATCGGCGAATAAATGAACTGAAATTGTTATATTATTTAAACTATCTGTTGTTTTATAATACTAGTTATAATTTGAATAGGACAAATAATAATTAATTTTTTTCCTTCAATTTTGTGCATGTATGCCGTTCATAATGTAAGACGGCCACAAAGTTTATTTGTACAGCGTTAAGACAAGTAAGCTACAGTGAAGACTGGGCTACTGATGTGTCCAGATCCATGTCCAAGTTAAGCCATTTAGAAACCTCTAGGTCTAGGAAATTACAATTTTGTGTCCTCTCTCCCCTAACTTTTTACATGTTACAACTTTTTTTTTTCATATGTTCATAATTGGCAGTATTTTTTAATTTGTGCGTACCTATCGCATTAAAAAGAATTTACCGCGAGAAATTTTTTACTTCATACGATTTTCGTTATGAATAAAAAGTCAACAACAAAGTTATAGTAGAAATCAGTTGGCGTTTTATGATAAAATCTCATTTCGTACCACTATTTGCAACTGCTTCAATGAGCTTAACCGTGATCGTAATAATTTCACTGATTCTCTGCATGAGAAAACTTCAATGTCAACAACTAAAATTTTTTGAGCTGTGCAGCACATGAAAGAAGCTGATAAGAGGGTAACTTTACACTCAACAGATCCAGGTAATATTAGGCATTGATATGTCTAATACGGAAAAGTTACGTGAATATCTTTTAAACGTAAGGAAGCTTTATACTAAATGTGTACGACGGCGACACTGAAAGTTTTTCTAGTTCTAATTTTGAAAATGGATCTCATTGCCAATATTATTGTGTATGTATTTTATTAACTTGTCATTTGTTTACGATTTGGCGGCAAATTGAAAATTGTCTGTGTCACGTCACCATGAATTTAACGCGAGAAAATTTTCATACAATGATTTTTTATGACTTTCGATGTCATTTAAGTCAACAAGAAAGTTATGATTGGCCTTTCACGATGAAGCCCCGTCTCGTGCCACTGTTTACAACTGGTTTAATGAGTTTAAACGTGGTCGCACTAATCTCACCGATGATCTGCGTGAGGGACGGCCTACTACGGCGAACTGAAGATAACATCAGTGTTGTGCGGCGTATGATAGAGACTGACAAACGAGTGACTTATCAGCAGATTTGCACAAGCTTAGGCATCGGTATGAGTCAAGTGCAGGAGGAGGATTGTCTCCATGAACATTTAGCGGTCAGGAAGCTTTGTGTCCGACATAATTTGGTAGAGGCCCAAAAACTCCATCGTGTTGATTGGTGTCGTGAAATGGTTCAAAGATTTAACGGAGGTGACTCAAATGCTGTGTTTGACATACTTACGGGTGACGAAAACAGGATTTATTGTTATGTTCTTGAAATTAAGAGACAGTCTGCTGTCTTGGTGTTTCCTTCGGAAGAGTTAGTTACCAACTAAAGTGAAGAGAGGTCGAAGCGTGGGAAAAAAGATGGTGGACTCGTTCTTCGGAAGGAGAGGTCATTACGCAACAATTGTTTTAGAGGATTGAAAAATAGTTACTACAGAGTGGTACATTAACAATTGTTTGCCACTTGTCTTGGAGAAAGTTCGGGAGAAACGACCTCACAGTAGGATCCTCTTCACCACGACAACGCCTCGTCGCACACCGCCAAGCAAACAATCGACTACTTGGCGACGTCAGACGTGGAATTACTGGGTCACCCGCCCTATAACCCCGACCTCTATTTTATACCTTGCTATTTTTATTTATTTCTGAAAATAAAAGAAAAACTTCGAGGAAAACGTTTTATGGAAGCCGAGGAAGCAGTGCCTGCGTTTCAAAATGCCGTCGAAGAGCCCCCTAAGGACGAGTGGGCAAAGTGCTTTTCTCAGTGGTTCCATCGGATGCAGCGATGTATTGATGTAAATGGACACTATTTTGAAAAGATATAATAAAACGAAAAACTTGCTAATTTGTTCAGTTTTTGATTTTCTAAAAACTTTCAGTGTCACCCTCGTATGCCATCGTTGTCGGATGATTAAATTAGCACGTTAGTTGAAGGGCTATGCTATTAATTAGACGCCGGCTTACAGTCGGACGCCCAGGCCGATCGTTTGTCGTTCAACGTTTAACTAGTTGGCTGGATGAACGCTAGCTAGCCCTTCGGAAACGGTTTACCCGAACGCCGCCGGGCCATTTAATAAGTCGTAGTCCGATCGTTAGAATTGGGCAGATCGTAATCTTGATACTTCATGATACGTCGCCTTTTTATGATTTGGCCGATAATTTATAACTATGACTTATGTTAATATAGTTCAAAGTACAAAAGCACCTATCTAGTAAAGTCAGCTCTGTAGAGCGGCAGCAAAGCCGCGTACATCTACATTTATATAATATATAAATTAGCAACAGAGCAGCGACATTACATGGCATGGTCATTCTATTAATTTCATTCAATTAGACGGCTAAATGACGATTAACCCTCTCTTTGAACATGGCTTGCAACGTTCGGCCACCGATCGGCCACCGATCGACCTAGGTATATATATATATATATATATATATATATATATATATATATATATATATATATATATATATAACTGAATGCCAGCGTCTAATTAACAGTCTAGCCCTCCAACTAACGGGTTAATTTAACCATCCGGCGACGACATATGCACCATAAATTGACCGAATATCGAAAACACGAATTGTTATAAAAGTACTATGCAGGTGACTCAAATGCTGTATTTGGCATTGTCACATCAGCTGATGAAAGCTACATTATGAAAGTTTTAGGATTGGCCAACATAAGTAAAAAATAAATCGGTTGTCTGTAAAGTCGGTTTACTGACGATAGTTGAACGTGACAATGTCATAAGAAAATTTTGCTACAAACAATTGACACCACATTCACTTTTCACTGCACTTCATACTTGACGAAAACATGTAAATGTATTATTGTATAGCAGCTGTCCATGCTCGCTCATCGCTCACTCAAGTAGGAGAGTGACAGATGTCGAACGCTGCCGAACGCGGAGGCCGATTGTGCCTCTTTGTCGCTCGTTCCGCGCTCTCACTTGCACTTCATGCCTTAAATGGAACGCCTCAAAAGTGAGGTAACGCCGCATGAATCATGTTTTTTTGTGCGTGCAGCCAGCTTCATCGAATTATAAGACGTTGACACGTCAAAAATGTTTTTTTTTTCAAATTTATAGAAGGTTGACACTTGACATGCGAGCAGAACGATCACCTCAAAATGATCTCCGCAGTCATCTTTACTGACTCTACAAAACACAAAAGGATTATATTGTTGTTGGACGCTGGTATTCTGTGCTCCCGCTTTACCACGTAAACATAACTACACATTATATCGATTCTAAATACTAAATACTTCCATTTAAAGTGCAAGCGAGAGCGCGGAACGAGCGACAAAGAGGCACAATCGGCCTCCGCGTTCGGCATGTCCGCATGGACAGCTGCTATACAATAATACATTTACATGTTTTCGTCAAGTATGAAGTGCAGTGAAAAGTGAATGTGGTTTCAATTGTTTATAGCAACGATAATTGCGGCGATAAAGGTAATGATTCTTTCGATATTAAATATTTCTTATGACTTTGTCACGTTCAACTATCGTCAGTAAACCGACTTTACAGACAACCGATTTTTTTGACGTGTCAACGTCTTATTATTCGATGAAGCTGGCTGCACGCACGAAAAAACATGACTCATGCGGCGTTACCTCGCTCTGACGCGTTCCATTTAAGGCTTGAAGTGCAAGTGAGAGCGCGGAACGAACGACAAAGAGGCACAATCGGCCTCCGCGTTCGGCAGCGTTCGACATCTGTCTCTCTCCTACTTGAGTGAGCGATGAGCGAGCATGGACAGCTGCTATACAATAATACATTTACATGTTTTCGTCAAGTATGAAGTGCAGTGAAAAGTGAATGTGGTGTCATTTGTTTATAGCAACATTTTCTTATGACGTTGTCACGTTCAACTATCGTCAGTGAACCGACTTTACAGACAACCGATTTTTATTATTATTTACTGTACTACTAAGCTTATTCCGTGGATCAAGTGGATTTTTCTTTAAGGCATTTAAACTAGCAATTGAAATAAGTGAAGAAAAACTGCTTAGCTTACCCGATCAAAAAGGAGCCGCCATTTCTGAAAAAGGAAAATAATTTTATAATATTTTCTCACTTAGATTTTGTTACAACAAATTCTAAACAATTTTCATGTATTTCATGTTATTTCAATTATATTTTGTAACATTTATTATGTGGACTTCGGCTTAACAACATCATTAGCATTTATTCCGTAACAAAGTTTTCAAAACGGGATACCCGTGGTATCGTCTTGGCATTTGTCTATATGTCACGACGTACGATTTATAGATGATTGTGGTGATATTTGGCATACATAGTTAGTTTTTTGGATTACCGTTTTGGATATCTGGCAGTTTCGATGACGGAGGAACAAGGATCTTTTCACAAGTGGTAGAGTTTTAGCTGCAGCTTATTATAGTTCTTGCATGAACAGGTCGGCTCGATTGAGGAAGGAGCACGCTTGCACAGAATATGTTTCGTATGATGAGTGAAATTCCATCTTAGTCCGTGGAGGTGATAACGAGTGAACGCAAAGAAGTGATAGCGCATATGCATTTTGATTCTCAATTATTGAGGTATGTAGGTATCTACATCATTCTCTTACCATCAGGTGAACTGTGTGCTCGTTTATTACCCTAAATTCCAAAAAATAAATAAATGTTAGCCGTCTTGCATAGTTAAACTGGATTAACGTCAACTTTTAATTATTAATTTCTGTTCTAATCTATACAAAAAAATGCTTACAATTTCTTCAACAGAAATAATATTCGTAAAATTTGTTTTTATTCACGTAAATAAAATATAAAAATATAAAAAGATATGTGTGTAGGAAAAAGATTATGTTTGCAACATATGGAAAATATTTAAAACTAATAAGTAAATATATTTCATGACGAATTTAAGTGAACATCTGACGTAATACTTACGTCATGCATCAACTCCCGCCTGATTTCCGCTTCATCAAGCTCCGAACCAAGATCCGTGTGATCTGTGTCGTAAAGTTGTTCCGCTGCGCGAGACAACGATCCCAAAGAGTCTCGGGCCGAAGCAAGGGATCCCGTAACAGTAGGCAACACTCCAGCTTCAATTCCGGACTCCATGGAGGTGTTAGTTGACAGGACAGTGGCGGTGGCGACGTGCGTAGCTCGCACCTCGCCGCCGCCGTTGCAGCCACTGCCCACCCACACTGACATCTTGCTGGCAACACCATCCACACAACTGCACTGTTCGATTTACAGTTTCAAATATCTACTCCCAGCTTTGTACCATTTCTGCCAAAATAGCTTACTGCGTATCGAAATTTATAAAACGATGTTTACTTTACTCTCCTTCAGGTGTAACGTTTAAAATAGCATCAAAAAATTTAATAATTTGGACTGGTTAATGATGGACCGAAATGGTTTATTGTATAGTTTGGACTTTTAACGTTGACTTACAAATGTGTGTATTTTGTCAATAATTTTAAAAAACTATCTCTTATAGTCTGAGTGCTATACTCTGTGGCTCTATTTCTTAACAAGTGCAAATAGGCAAATGGAGGAAGATATTAAGGCACGACAATGATTAACTCTGCTTCCGGTGTACCTGGAAATAAAAACAAAAAATGCTTCATAATATACCTACGTACGCCTTATAAATTTTATTATTTCACATTCTCATTCTTAAAAATCGGCTTTGTTTGCTCTGTTCTTTTCTAAGGCATACAACAGCGTAAGAATACAAGTACAAACATAACTACCAATTCAGTTATTCATTTGTTTTTATTGCTCTATTCAGTTATTCCTGGGGTAGTATATTTAATAGGTTTTAACAATGAAACTAACCTTGAAATCGTCAAGCTTTTAATATTCTTAAAACTTTGCGGGGTCTAGACGCGAACAAAGCTATTGAACCAGATGGTTTACTAGCCGTAGTCCTTAAAGCTTGTGCATATGAGTGTGAGACTGGAATAGTGCCCAAATCCTGACCAATGCGAAGCCAATTATCGGTCAATCTCAACTACCTCCATATTCCAATATAAAGTTCCGCCATAATCAGTCAACCTTCTAGCGTATGCCACACACATATGGAACGAGGTATTAGAGAAGAATGCGGAAACAATTCCTTGTGAAGGCCTTTGACTGAGTCTGGCACACTTGTCATTTAGCCAAGCTAAGCGTTCAGATAGTCCGCTGGTCTGATCAGCTGAGTGCAAGATTTTTTCAAGGAAAGGTTATTCCGAGTCGTTGTCAAAGGCTGCTTCTAAACCTAAGACGACTGATGCCGGACTTCCTCAGGGGTCCGTTATCTCTACAACTCTTTTCCTGCTGCATATAAATGACCTGCTTATATCCGTTATACACAGATGATAGCACAGTAGGGGAGAGATATCAAGTGAGTGCTCGGACGAGTCGGGATCAAATCCAATCCGAAAAAGAAGCTATGGTTGAGCGTGTAAATCTCTCACTGCAGGCAGTTTCCGAAGGGGGCTATGCCAATCTTATAAAATTCAAAATACAAGCACGTCTTGTCACCGCAAAAATGAGCTATCTCACGTTCAAATTCAAATTCAAATTCAAATTCTTTATTCCATAACTTAATCTATTACATCAAATTGTGGTTGGAGCTTCCTTTTAAGCAAAGGATTTGCTTGTACTAGGAAGCACCACTCTTCCAAACAGTGGGTATACAACACTAAGTTAAGGCAAAGACTAATAGAAAGTTAGTTATTAAATTATAAAATTATAAAAGTATAAAAAAAAAGTGTGTGTGTGTGTGTGTGTGTGTGTGTGTGTGTGTGTGTGTGTGTGTGTGTGTGTGTGTGTGTGTGTGTGCGTGTGTATGTGTGTGTGTTTGTGCGTGCGTGAATGTTATATGTGTGCATGTGGGTGCATGTATGGTGCATGGTGCATGTATGTATAGAATATGTATCTTTGTGAATTATATATTATAGTGTGGAATATTACACATATTCGTTTGTTGGTTTGTTAGCCCTACGACTGTGTCTTGGGATCAGAAGTTATCATTGTTCAATGAATTACTTTCTCTAACCTTCACCAAAAGTTGCATAGCACTCAGTTGCGCTTATGGGTGATGAATGACACTCTCAATTTCTTCATAGTTTTTTGTGATTAACCATTTCTCTAGTGTCTTTTTACATTCAATATGTGATAGAGGGTAAATGTTGAGTTTTTTATTAAGTTTATTATATATGTAAGCAGACTGACTGTTATATTGCCTCTTTGCAAATACCGATCTAACCCGAGGCTGTGGAACAACATTAACGATCGTCCTACGATTGCTTTTTTTTGGGTCATAGGAAATCGACTTGTGCTTTCTAGTGACAATGCGTAGTAGGTACAACTTTCTTACAGATAAGATACCACTATTCAGATATAAGTTATCAGTTGGGGATCTATATGGTAAGAAGAACATTACTTTCAGAAGAGCTCTTTGTGCTCTTTCCAGATTTAAGAAACTAGTTTTTATCGCACCTCCCCAAACTGATATGCAGTAGGTAATAACTGATTCGGCAAGTGCGCGGTAGATTTTACGTAGAAGGTCCAGTCGAGCCACGTGTCGCAGAGTCTTAAATGACCAGATTAATTTCCTAACTCTGCTTGTGAGTTGCTCTATATGCTGATGCCAGGACAATCGCTGATCCAACATTACACCAAGGTATCTCGTATTAGAAACCTTTTTTAACGATTGGCTCCTTCATCAATGTATCATTGGAATTTACTGACCGCCTTCAGTTGCTGGTCGTTGAATTTTTTTTAACCAGAACTTTAGGTTTATTGAGCCCTTGGTTTATTGAGCCCTGAGATTGGGTAGGTAAAGTAAGGAGTCCTTACAAATGTGCTGCGATACTTCACGGTAGCACAATTGCTTACACTATATAAAGAGCAAATCCGGTTACGAGTGGAGGACTGCTGCTAAATATGGGCTGGTGCTGCAAAATGCCACTTAGTGGTTTTGGATACGTAGTACTATAATATTATTTTGTGCTTTGGACTCAATTAAAAGGCGTGCTAAGAGGCTTATTGGTGATATTAATATGGTTGAAACCAATCTTACGAGTGAAAATTTCTGGAATCAAGGAAGTGACAAAACATTACTATTTAAAAATGTATTTATTGCTTTTCGAAGTATTCTCCGTGAAATTTGACACATTTTTCCATACGATGGAACCAATCATTGAAGCAACCATTCCATTCGGAAGTTGGGGTCTCCAAAATGGCCGTTTTGTAGGCGCCCACAGCTTCTTCAGGTGATGAAAATCTCTGTCCACGCAATTTATTCTTTATTTTAGGGAAAGTATAGAAATCATTAGGGCTTAGGTCGGGGCTGTACGGCGGATGGTCTAATAATTCTATGTTTTCTTGCTCTAAAAACTCTTTTGTTCTGTGTGCGGTGTGGGAACTCGCATTGTCGTGATGGAGGATGATGCGGCGGTTGCAGTTCTCTTTACGGAGTTCAGAAACGACCTGTGGCAAACAAATGCTAGCATACCATTCTGCATTAACTGTTCTTTGTCCCTCAAGAGGAACATGGCCGGTTTTGGAGACAAACGTGGCCACCATTTTTTTTGCAACACTCCGTGAACGAACAATTTTTGTTGACTTTAACTCATTTTCGAACACCCAAACTCGTGACTGGTTTTTAGTTTCGGGTTCGTACGCGTATATCCAAGATTCGTCACCTGATACGATGTTGTATACAGCATTTGAGGATCCTGCGTGGAATCTTTCGAGAGTTCTGACACATCAAGTAACGCGAGCCGCTTTTTGCTCTTCACAGAGCGAATGCGGTATCCATCGGGAAAACAACTTTTTTACACCTAATTGTTCATGCAAGATTATTTGTATTTGACTCATGCCAATGTCTAAAGTTGCCTGAATTTCGCGGTATGTCACATGTCGATCTTCCTCAATCAGCTTACGCACAGCATCAACGTTTTCTTGGGTGACTGCAGTTTTTGGACGACCTTGACGGGGATCATCACTGAGCTTGACACGTCCACGTTGAAATTCAGCAAACCAGCGATAAATTGTGGCTTTGGATGGGGCTTCATCACCAAATCCAGAAATCATCCGGTCAAACACACTGTTTTTGTGTTAAACCACTTCGAAAGTCATAATAAATCATCGCTCTTGAATTTTCTCGAGTCAATTCCATTTTCTCAACGACTAAACAAGTTTGACAAAACCTTGTTACAAGACCGAGAATCTTTTTTTAAATAAATAAATGGTTAAAAGGAGTTTTCAAATAAAAAGATTTTAATATGACAGGAACAGTGGAAATATTCCATTCCCGATACTTTTAGTGCAGCCTATGTACCAGTCCCGAACACAGCCGTAAATTACCCAGCACTTCGGTGCTTACAGATATTTCGGAGCATGTACACACATAGTTCCTCTCACCGTTTCATCAACGGACCAACAGACGGCTGTTCTCCAACACTTTATTATCGACACCCTATGCATTTAAACCATACGGTTTGCTTCTTCGTTTGTTATGTGTACAGGTAAGGAGTGAAATAATTTACCAGCATCTGTCTTTCTCTCCGATTACAATCTGGATGTCTTAAACTCAAGGGTGAATCGGTTTTTTAAAAGCGACTATAGCCTAATGGTAGGTTACAAAGAAAAAACTCAGGGAGTCGTGGGTTCAAATCCGCCATTTGACTACTGTATACCGCTCTGAACACAAGCATTTTAAGCTTACGTAGAATGGTTAACGACAGTATTATTAATGTTTTGATAGCGTTACTAGGTTTATTTTTAAAATACTTTTTTTTTGTTAAGCTAAGTCTGTATCACCAATTACCATCAGGTGAGCATAGGCTTAATAGTTAAAAAAAACTTTATAGTTTGCCGTTTTAACATCTAAATGAAACGATTTCACTACAAGAAGCACAAAGTTGTTTTATGATAGACAACTTTTATATTTATTATAAGCAACTTTTACCCCGCAATTTTTATGAAGTCTAATCATGTCCACGTCCAGGTCCACTCTCCCACAGTAGAGTGGACCTGACACAAGCGCTAGGCTTTATAGGCGAATTATCAGGGACCTCGTACCTTTAACGCTGCTCCAAGCACCGGTCTGGTTAATTTACATCTGGCACGGTACGATAATTCCATAATTACATACGATAGAGCAACTATCAATATTTATTCTAATAAGCGCTATCAAAATTCGAAAACTATAT